TGGGTTCCTGGGCCCGCGGTGCAGGAAGCGGGAGCGTTTCCTGGTTCGGTCCCCGGCTGCGGAATGCGCCACCCCGGGCGGGACGCCCTGGTGACTTGGCACTCGCCGCTGATCGCCGCGCCGGGTGCTGGGCCCACGGGGAGAGCCGGCGACGACGAGGACCCGGATCTTACAGCCAAGCCGCGGGCCGAGGGTGGCTTGGGATGCCGCTGCAAGGAGGTGTGGACGAGCAGGCTTCCGGAGAGTGGAAACGCGTGGAGTTTGAGCGGGGAGAGGGGCCGTGAGGTTCCGCGCTGAGACCCACGTCTGCGGAGAGAGAGGGGAATGGCAGGAGGTCACTGCTCCCGGGGCTCAGTGCGAAAGGACCCCCACCTTCCCCTTTCCTTAGTGAGGGTGGCTTGGGATGCCGCTGCAAGGAGGTGTGGACGAGCAGGCTTCCGGAGAGTGGAAACGCGTGGAGTTTGAGCGGGGAGAGGGGCCGTGAGGTTCCGCGCTGAGACCCACGTCTGCGGAGAGAGAGGGGAATGGCAGGAGGTCACTGCTCCCGGGGCTCAGTGCGAAAGGACCCCCACCTTCCCCTTTCCTTAGTGACGGTGGATGGTGTCAGAGATGGTGTAGACAGGTAAGTTTGTCCACCTGCTGCCTGGCTATTGGGTGGTCCCCGTGTCTTGAAGGGAGGCCCTGTTAGCAGCTACCACATGCGGGAAGGGGCTGAAGAAGGCGGGTTCCCAACAATGCCAGGCTGGCTTGGTGCGCCCCAGGATTGGTGTCTGGCCACGGGCTTTCTCAGGGCGAAATACGGGCCAGAAAATGTGAACAGCGGAGTAAATGTGAACAGTGGAGTGTGTCTAGCTAGGAGAGTCCCGCAGCAGGTGGAAGGCGAGGAATTCCATTCCGGGTATTGGCAAGAGGGAGGTGGGAGTGAAGCCCTCAGGGGCCTGATTGCAGGGATCAGAGGTCCAGGGATCAGGGACTGTCAGCCACAAAAATAGCGCCTGGGCTGGGCCGGCAGCCTTCTGGGCACCAGAAATAAAGCATCTTTCCCAGCAGGGAGAGGAGGAGACCTCAAAGGAATATGCAGTGGGCAGGAGCTTGGGAAGGGAGAGGGATGAGTGGGTTCTGTTTCAGAAAGTCAGGAAACGCCTCTGCCCAAGTGGTGGGGAGGAAGGACAGTGGACAGTGCAGGTGTTTATGGGCTGGTATTCCAGGCAGCGAGACCCTCAAGTGCAGGGCGTCCTAAGAGACTGTGCTTGTGTGTTTGAGAAAGTGCGCGGAGGCGAGGGCAGAGGAGGAGAGTGGGGGTGCATGAGGCCAGGCCCTGAAGATTCAGAATTTTCTGAGATCTGGATCAATCGGGAGAGAGTAGAGTGATTTACATTTTTAAAAACTGGAGAACATGTGTGCTCCATGCTGTAAATATTGGCATTCCAGCAGTTGGTGTGCTGAGTAAGGCTCTGGACTCCCACATGGTTGACCACGGTTCAAGTCCCAGAGCTGGCAGCTTGAAAATCACTCTGGGCATGTGTGGGTGTGTAGCCAGAATTCTGAGAGAATAAATGGATTCTCTCAGTAGTGAGAGATCCCCTCCTCCAGGGAGGAGACGGGATTATGACATAGCCATCCCCCTGGGCAATGATTTCTCATTTTTCCTGTCTATGTTGAGCATATGCACCTTATGGCAAAAACCTAAAAATTAAAAAAAAAGGCATTTCTATGGTTGCCAGGCACCCAAAGTCCCTATCCTCCGAGAGCTAAGTAGCTAAGCAGTGAGGGAACTGCTGTTCTAGGTGGTCAGGGGAGGCTCTGGGTTGGAGTCCCTGGGCTCAGGTTACTGAATTACTGAGTGCTTCTCATCTGTATGTTGCGAGATGCATGGGATCAGCAGATGGAATAATGGTTATGTTGCTGGACTCCTACATGGCTGATTGTGGTTCAAGTCCCAGACCCGGCAGCTTCACACAGGGCCTGTGTGCATTTGTGTCCAAAATCCCGAGAGGAGAATGGAGAAGGAGGGATTGCGGTGTGGCCATCCCCCTTGGGGGGTCATTTCTCGCTTCCTGTCTCTCTGTCTGTCTCTGTCTCTCCTGCAAGCATACACACCGTATTGCAAAAACTTCTCTTTAAAAAATAAAAATAAAAAAAGAAGGCAGTGAGGTCTTGCCAGCCCCAACCTGCTGCCTTCGGTAAGTGTGAGCTGCTGGTATTGCTGACCCCCTTAGGTCCTCTGATGGGGAGAAGGGGGTGGGAGTGCTTGGTGGGAGGTCCCGCAGGGGGAGCTGGGTCGAGCGGTGTTTATACAGGAGCAGGGGCATAGTGGACAGAGCGTAGGTTTTTTTCAGCTGTGGCTTCACAGTGAACAATGACAAGACCCAGGGCGAGGGAAGTGAAATAGACCCAAGTGGGGAACAAAGCTGCAGGAGAGGGTGGGTAGGCGGACTGGGAAGGTTGGGGGATGGCCAGGTCTGGGGACTGGGAGCCGGAGCCCCTGGCCACATTAATGATGGAGGCCAGCCGACACGGTGCTGTGTGGCAGTGGGCAGGTAGGTAGCCCCAGCCTCAGGATAGGAGCCGCACCCGGGGGAGGCGGAGTGGTCTGGAAGCAGCCCTGACCAGGGAGAGCACGCCCCCCATGCTCTCCTGGTTGTCCTGTGTTCAAGACTTCTTTACGGATGGAGGGCCTGCCCCGAGCCCCCTGCATCAGGGCTGGGAACAGCTTACTCTCAGGGCCAGGCCTGCTAAGACCCAAGTTGCTTGCAGGGTTCACTCCCATTGAAGGAGCCATGGCAGCTTCTGGAGGTGGTGCCCCCATCAGGGATGCGGCCAGGAGGGAGTCCTGATCCCAGGGGCGGTCTGGCCCTGTTTCTGAGGTTCCGCAGTTTGTTTTTTTTTTAAAAGTTTTTTTTCGGAGAGGTTTTTGCTATAGGGCGTGTGCGCTCACCAGAAAGACAGAGACAGAAAGTGAGAAATCACCCCCCCAGGGGGGATGGTCACACCGCAATCCCTTCTCCATTCTCCTCTCAGGCTCTTGGGCACACACGCACACGCGCCTGGTATGAGTTTAAGCCACCGGGTCTGGGACTCAAACTGTGGTTGACTTACATGGGAGTCCAGCGACATAGCCATTATGCCAACTGCTGGTCCCAGTGATTTGTTCTTTTTTTTGAGGTTTTTTTTTTTTTTAATTTAATTTTTTTTTTTTTTAATTTTTAGAGGTTTTTGCTATAGGGCACGTGTGCTCACCAGACAGACAGAGAGACAAAAAGCGAGAAAACACCCCCCAGGGGGGATGGCCACGCCGCAATCCCTTCTTCTCCATTTTCCTGTTGGGATCTTGGGCATGCACGCACATACGCCTAGCGTGAGTTTAAGCCACCAGGTCTGGGACTCGAACTGCAGTCAGCTACATGGGAGTCCAGTGACATAGCCATTACACCAACTGCTGGTCCCAGCAGTTTGTTCCTAACAGCCTCTGTAAGCAATCTTTCAGCTCGGAGGATGCTGGCAGGCAGCACCCTCTGCTTGACAGGGCATGGAGAACCTGAGGTCCGTGAGCCCTGGGCCTGGTTGATGCCTCCTTGGGTCCAGTGAGGTCCAGTGTCTGTAGCCGAAGGCCCGAGGCCATGGACCCACCTTCAGATCCAGGATCTTGGGACAAAGGCGCAGTGTTTCTGCGCGGCTTGTAAATAGGGCCTTTGAGATGGAGTTCTGCCACAGCCCACGAGGCCTGGTGGCTGTGTTTTTGGAGACAGTTGGGAAGTTCGGGGTGGGGGCAGGGAGCACCCCAGGCTGGGAGTGCGTCCTGGAGAAGGTGCCCCGCACGGACATGGAAGTTGTCCTGTGAGACTGGCCGGGAGGGCGAGCCTCCGGGAAGCTTCTCAGCCTGGAGCTTGGCTGTGGGACTGGCACTGTCCCCTCACCAGGCTCCCTGGCTCAGGCCCTCCTGGGGCCTGCTCTCCTCTGCCAGCATGCCTCCATGGCTCCCATCGCCTGCTGGACTGGGCTCGGCCTGCCACCCCCAGGATCTGACCATGGGCGATCTTCCCCACCTCCTCTTTCTGGGCACTGCCGTGCTCCTCTCTGGGGGCCTGCCGGCTCCCACCTCAGTGCAGGGCCCTCCCTTGTCCATGTCTGAACTTCCCTGGGAAACCCCTCTGGCTTTCCAGCCCAGCCCCTGGGGGCACATTCCCTCAGGTCTCCATGCTGCCTCCCTGAACCCCCCAGGGCTGCCCAGTACTAGGGGCGTCTCTGGGAGCATCTGTGGGAGGAGAGAGCCATTCTCCTTAAAAGAGCCTGCACGGTGGGGAGGAATGAAGCTCAGCTGCCCAGAACCGCGCGTGCCAAGCATGTGTCCTCACGGGACACATAGTGGTTCGGAAATCGGGGTGGGGGGCGTCTCAGATCCGGGGGTGATGCACTCACGGGCTTCTCCCTCCGGCCAGGTGCAGGAGAACTCTCCAGCCCAGCAGGCGGGCCTGGAGCCCTACTTTGACTTCATCATCACCATCGGGCACTCGCGGCTGGTGAGGCTTCCCCAACCCTGTCACATGTGCTGGTGTTGCTGTGTGTCCGTCTGTCCCTCGAGAGGCCCAGCCTGTTCTGCCTCCCTCCCGGAGGGAGGCCGACCCTGTCTCCCCTTCTTCAGGGCCCTGTCCAGCTGTTTTTTTTTTTTTTTTTCCCTCCCCTTTATTATTATTATTTACACATTTAATCACTACACATCATTTAGAATGTAAAGCTTCTAAGCTCTTTGGGTGGACGTGAAGGTGGTCACGAGCCTCAAGGGCCTGCCACATGGAACTGGGTGCTCCAGGGCAGCTCAGCCTGGCAGAGCTGGAGTGCTCTGGACCCAGAGGGCAAGCAGAGGGAGGAAGGTGGCAGTGCTGGGGGCAGGTCACGGGCTGCAGGCCCAAACCTGCAGCACCTGTGAACCTGCCTGGCCCATCTTGGCGCCAGGGCCCGCTAACCACCAAGGCCCTTCCCCATCTCAGGCCCAGACTTTCCTGAGGGGCTGGCACGGCTGGTGGTGGTGCCCCTGCCACCCCAGCACCCTCCCCGCTGCAGTCAGCTCCACTCGCCCCACAGAACAAGGAGAATGACACTCTGAAGGCTCTGCTGAAGGCCAACGTGGAGAAGCCGGTGAAGCTGGAGGTGTTCAGTATGAAGACCATGAAGGTGCGCGAGGTCGAGGTGGTGCCCAGCAACATGTGGGGCGGCCAGGGCCTGCTGGGCGCCAGCGTGCGCTTCTGCAGCTTCCGCAGGGCCAGTGAGCACGTGTGGCATGTGCTGGTAAGTGTGGGTTGAGGTGGGCGTGGCACGTGGGAGGGGTGGGGCCAGAGTTGTGTGGGCGGGGCGTGGGGAGGTCAGCACCCAATGGGCTTAGCAGAGGAGTCTGAGGGCAGAAGCTGGTCACCCTGAATGCAGCCCGTGCACCCTGCGTCTTAGCCGTGAGACTTTGTGCACTTTCATACCTTCTCTACCTCGGTTTCTTTTTTGGAAAGGTGGGGATACCATCAATAGGAATGGTGATTATACTGACGTTCTAGAATACTGTCGCTATTTTTTTTTTTTTTTGGAGAGGTTTTGCTACAGGGCACATGCGCTCGCCAGAAAGACAGAGAGACAGAGAGACAGAAAGCGAGAAATCACCCCCCAGGGAGGATGGCCACGCCTTCTCCTCCATTCTCCTCGGGATCTTGGGCACGCATGCACACGCGCCTGGCGTGAGTTTAAGCCACCGGGTCCAGGAGTTGAACCGTGGTCGACTACATGGGAGTTCAGCGACAGAGCCATTACGCTAACTGCTGGTCCCTGCTGTCGCTATTCTTAGTGTCTCTTTTCTGCTGTATGTATGCGTAGGGATGTGTATGTGTATAATAGCTTTATCTACTTCTCTAGACACACACACACACACACACACACACACACACACACACAGTGTTTTTTTTCTGGTAGTATTTTATTTGTTTTTAACTACCAAAGGATGTATGCATTCACTAGAGAGGCAGGGAGACGGAGAGAGCACCTCCGGGTGAGGCGTGGTCACACCGCAATCCCATCCCGTCCATTTCTCCATCCTGTTGAGATCTTGGGCACACACGCACGAGCACCCGGCGTATTTTTCAAGCTGCCTGCTGGGTTTCCAACCATGATCAGCCATATGGGATCCTTAACCAGTGGGCCGTGGGCTGGCCCTGGTACATTTTCATATCATTGACACCTTAGTGAATCTCAGTGACTGCGTTATCAGATGTTGGCTTCTGTTCACAGACACACGTGCACACCTGACACCTGCTTTTATCCAAGGTGTCCAAGTTCTCGAATGTTTTGTCCTCTGGCTGGGTGGAAAAAGGTGCTCGGAGCTAGAACTTGGCCGCCTTGATTTCTCACCTCCATTATTGCTCCCTGGCGTCTTGGAGAGCCTGGCCAAGCCAAGCCTCTACAGCTGCCTGCATTTGGCCACGCGGGAAATGGAGCTGATGATACAAATTTCTTTGTATTTCCTAGGGAGGCTGGGACAGTGGCAGTGGTGGGACCCCCTCCCCCTCCCCCCAGGGGTCTTCTTCCCCGTGCTTGCAGCAGTAGCAGCAATGCAGTGGCCAGCGGCAGCCATCTTTCTTTGCACGCATTCCTGGCTCAGCAGCGCTTCCAGTAGGCAGTTACTATGTGCCTTAGTTTTTTTATTTTTAAAGTTCGTTTGTCTGTTTGTTTTCCATAGGGCATGTACGCAGGTGAGAGCCAGAGAGAGGAAGGGAAAGTGAGAAATCACTCACCCAGGGGGGATAGCCACACTTCCTTCTCCAGTCTCTGTTCGGAATTTTTGGGCACGCATGCACACGCGCCCGGTGTGCTTTTTAAGCCACTGGGTCTGGGACTTGAACCGTGGACTTGGCCATGTGGGATCCAGTGTTTTCATGACCAAGCCATTTGCTGGCCCTATTTCTTTTCATTGCGAGGACACTGAGGCTGAGAAAGGCTCAGCCATCTGTTCCTAGTCACACAGCTGCTAGGTGGTGGAGACGTGGAGCCCAGGATCGGATCCCAGGGCCCAATGCTGAGCTGTGCCAGGGTGCGGCTCTCTGCTGGACAGGCTAGGCCGGGAGCGGGGTGGGGGACTGTAGGAGTGGGGAAGGCAAGGGAGTCTGGGTCTTAGCCACACCTCGGGACAGACAAGTGTTATACTTTACCTGGAGGGGCAGCTGCCCCTGCCCCTCCTCCCCACCTTGGCAGCAAGGCTGAGTTTGCGATTCTGTCCTCAGGACGTGGAGCCATCGTCACCTGCTGCCCTTGCTGGCCTGCGCCCCTACACAGACTACGTGGTTGGCTCAGACCAGATCCTCCAGGAGGTAAGGAATCCATGGCTTGCCCTGCCCCAGGCCCTGGAGTGGGGTGTGGAGGACACTGCCCGTGGGAAGTCCCCATGCGTCGAGGCTCCCAGTTTGGTGCTGGGAGCGGGTCTCAGGTGCTGTGTGTTTCTCACAGTCTGAGGACTTCTTCACGCTCATTGAGTCCCACGAGGGGAAGCCCTTGAAGCTGATGGTTTATAACTCCGAGTCTGACTCCTGCCGGGAAGTGACTGTAACTCCCAACGCAGCCTGGGGTGGAGAGGGCAGGTACTTCCTCGGGTCGGGGCGGCCGCGCAGCTAGGACGATGAGTCCCATGGTGGGGTGGAGGGCTGGCCCCTGGTCCAGGTGGGGCTCTTACCAGCCTCCTTCTCACTGATGGTGGTTGGGGGCGGTAATGGGAGGGAGGGCTGGGGACAAGCGCTTGGATCGTTTCTGCCTTCTGCAGCCTGGGGTGTGGAATTGGCTATGGGTATCTACACCGGATCCCAACGCAGTCCTCCAGCCACAAGAAGCCACCTGGTGCCCCACCACCGGATGTGAAGCCACCTGGTGCCCCGCCACCTGATGCCCTACCTCCTGGTGCCCCACCATCTGATGCCCCACCATCTGATGCCCCGCCACCTGGAGCCACTCCCCAGGGACCTCCTGCCTTTCCTGGCCTAGAGATGGGTTCCAGGCAGAGTGACTACATGGAGGTATGCCAGGAGAAAAGGGGTCACGTGTAGCCAGGGGGGCCGGCCAGCCAGGAAGAGAAGACTCTGGAGGTGGCCCTCGGGGACCACCAACCACCCCTACCAGGAGGAGCCACTGAGGAGCCCCCAACAACCCCCGCTGTCTGTGGGGCCACTGTGCTTCTCGGAAGCTCATCTGCTTCTGGGACAGTAAAACCCACTTTGGGTTCTCCTAGCCCTGGGGTCTAGAGGCGAGGGTGGAGGCCAGAGTAGCTCTCGCCTTCATTTTATGAGAGGGAAACTGAGTTTCGGAGATGGGCAGAGACTTGTGTCTCAGGGAGTCTGTGGTAAATGGGGGCTGGGGCCCCAGGTCCATCTGCAGGGACACACCGGCTCTGCCTCCTTGTCTGATGAGTGATCCCCGGAGGGCACTCTTGGCACTGGGCTGGGGTCTGGTATGTGTGTGTGTGTGTGTGTGTGGTGTGTGTATATGCATGCATATGTGTGTGTGGTGTGTGTGCATGTGGTGTGTGTATGTATGTATGTGTGTGGTGTGTGCATGTATGTGTGTGGTATGTATGTGTGTGATGTGTGTGCGTGTGGTGTGTGTATACGTGTGTGTGTGGTGTGTGTGTGGTGTGTGTGTATGCTCCCCAGCAGGGCCTCAATTCAAGAAGGGCCCTCTCTAGTGGGTCAGTGAAGAGGGCCCTGGCCCAGGCGTGTGTCCAGGCCCAGTGGGCACCCAGCACTCCTCAGAGGGGCAGAGTGCACCCTGTCAGTGCTGACCCTGCAGAGGCCAGGCCCGCCCGGTCCCCTGCCCTGCCTTCATAGAACAAGGGAGAGCAGAGCAGCGCTCCCAGGGCAAGGGCAGGCTGGCGGTTGGCTGGACTGTGAGCCCTTTGCCAGGAGGCACTAGCCCATCTGCCCCTTCCTGCTCCCTCTTCCCTGGCTTCCCTAGGCCCTGCTGCAGGCACCTGGCTCCTCCACGGAAGGACAGCTGTCCAGGCCTGGGAGTCCCAGCCGCAGTGCTGCAGACCTCGAGGGACTGCCACATCCCATGGAGACTCCTCTTCAGCCTCCACCTCCGGTGCAGCGAGTCATGGACCCAGGTACCGGGCAGGCCCTGACAGGCTAAGGGACCGGCAGCTGCGGTGGGCCCAGGTTTGGGGCTGGGATTCGGCAGCGGTCCCAGAACCCCTTGGGGCCCATTGACCCCTCTTACTTTACGTACTGAGTGTCACAGGCCTCCTGACCCAGTGTGAGGACGGGGAGGACACAGACCAAAGAAGAGAGGTGTCTACTTCAGGTCACAGCACGCTGGGGACGGCAGGGCCTGGCCCGCTGCCACTGGCCTGGCACCACAGCCATGACGCCCATCCCCAGGCCCCCTTCTTCAGAAACAGGCAACAGGATCACTGTCCCGGGGTGGGTGGGGGCATCGCCAGGGAGGCGACTGCAGTCTCATAGGCTAGGCCAGAGGGCCAGAGCAGGGCCGGGCGAGTCCAGGGACCCGGCTTTCCAGGGGGTTTTGTGTCAAGAACCGCACCCCTCCTCCCAGGCTTCCTGGACGTGTCGGGCATTTCCCTCCTGGACAGCAGCAATGCCAGCGTGTGGCCCAGCATGCCCTCGCCCACCACGCTGACGTCCACAGCTGTCCCGACCTCAGGGCCGGAGGACGTCTGCTCCAGCAGCAGTTCCCATGAGCGGGGCGGTGAGTGGCGGGTGCACTCCGAACCCCTCTGTGGCAGACCCCAGGTTGTCCAGGAGAGGCTGCCCTGAATTCCTCAGCTGGGTTGGAAGCTTGTCCTTGACTCCATCACCCCCATCATGACATTCGTGCGCATGATGTCCCACCCACCCCCGTCGGGGCTGGGGACAGTGGGCCACCAATAGGGTACTAGCCCCAGCACCATGGCTGTGCTCAGCAGCCGCCTCAGCCCTACCTTCTGTGTTGCAGGTGAGGCCACCTGGTCTGGGTCAGAGTTTGAGGTCTCCTTCCCAGACAGCCCAGGTGCCCAGGCCCCGCCAGACCACCTGCCCCAGCTGACTCTCCCGGACAGCCTCACCTCTGTGGCCTCGCCGGAAGACGGGCTGTCTGCTGAGCTGCTGGAAGCCCAGGCTGAGGAGGAGCCGGCCGGCACGGAGAACCCAGATTCTGAAGCAGAGGCTGAGGGGCCGGCCAGCCAGGCCCAGGTCTCTACCCCAGAGTAACCCTGCGCTGTGACAAGGCCCCGGGCACCGTACGCAGCTCTGCCTGACCTCAGCCCCGTCCGATCTGCTTCCTAGGCTGCAGTGTCAGGTGACCTGCAGGGACTTCCGCGGGAGTGGGCTCAGAGTGCACTGGGGCCTTGCATTTACCCCGACTCTGATATCCTGGCTTTGGTGGCTTCACACTAGTTGTCTGGGGTCGAGGAGGGCTTGGGGCAACCCCAGACTAAATGTTCCACACAAGTTAGGATGGGAAAGGAAGGATTCTTTGCTGCTTAGTGGGGTCAAGAAGCCACAGTGGGTGGCAGAAGGAACTGGGGCACTGGGGAGAGGTACCCCCACTCTTCAGTCCAGTGGTGCTCCCGCTCTGGTCACTGTCCAGCCTGAAGACCAGCTGAAGGAGCAGGGGTCGGTGTCAGGTATCAGCCTAGTCGCTCTGCAGGGCTGCACAGCTCAGCCAGCCCTGTCTGTACTGGGAGGGACCCCCTGAAGCCTCGGGACACCCAGCCTTCCCCAAATACCTATCACCAGCTCCCCCAACCATGCTACATGGCCCTGTGGGCACAGCTGGCTGACACGCCAGTCATGGGAGAGAGGCAGTGTGTGCGTCCACCTTTCCTGGGGGAGGCGGGCTGGGAACACCAGGCCCTGCGGAAGAGACTCTCCTGCCTACACCGCAGGGCTTCCGCCCCAGGGCCCACACACCGCAGGCCTCGTTCTCCCAGGGGCGGTGGCTGTCAGCTTCCGAACTTACACAGCGGGCTCTAAGTACACAACGTACACACCGATCCAGCCTGCCCACCGGTGAACAGTTGCAGGTTTAAGTTCACCATCCTAAGCAAGGTCTGTCACACACAGCCCCCACACCAGGGTGGATAAGGGCCTTCTGTCTGTCCTGCAGCACACGGGGATGCCAGATGCCATTCCCAGCCTGGTGCCTCTGGAGGCTAGAGCTAGGTTGGGTCCTCTGCCTGCTCAGTTCCTGCAGAAGAGACAGACTCCCTCCAGGAGGGTCTTCATCAGCCACTGTCCTACTGCTTTGCCCGGAGTCCCTCACCTCCCACACTGCTCTTATGTGAGCGCCATCACTGGCCTTGTCTTCGAGTCTGCCCCTTGAAAGTCTGCTCTGGGTCTACAGACCCGCTATATGGAGGGAGGGCCCTGGCGCAAGCTCCAGGCACTGTGACGTTTACAGCAAGCTCCCAGCTGCGAAGTCTGCAGGACAGCGAGCGATTGTGTCCTAGTCCGTCTGGGAGCCCCACAGCAGTCAACATAGAAGGTGGGAAGAGAGCTGCCATACGATGTTCTGTGGACAGCTTCCCCCAGCTACGTGACCCAAAGTTGCCTTCACTACAAGTTTTTGTTTGTTTGTTTGTTTTTGAGAGGTTTTTGCTAAAAGGCATGTGCACTTGCCAGAAAGAGACAGAGAGACAGAAAGCGAGAAATCACCCCCCAGGGGGATGGCCACGCCGCAGTCCCTTCTCCTCCATTCTCCTCTTGAGATCTTGGGCATTCACGCACACACGCCCAGCATGAGTTTTAAGCCACCAGGCCGGACTCAAACTGTGGTTGACTACATGGGAGTCCAGCGACATAGCCATCACACCAACTGCTGGTCCCTCACTACAAGCTTTTCCCCTCCTTTTCTTTTCCCTCTCCCAAGTTAGGGGACAAACTGGGTGTCAATGCTAACTATTCCCAGGACAAACAGGAAGCAAGAGGCTTCTTAACTCTCTAATCTGCTATGAAGGAAAATGACCAAAATAAAAAATAAGTGTGTACTACTTTGAAATATTTTAACTAAAGCCTTTATTCTCTATACAATTGTGAAATACAGATTTTTACCCTCTTGGCATTGCAGACTGTCAAATTTTCTTGGAAACTGTATTACTGGTTTGACGGAGGGGGAGAAAAAGTACAACCATGCTGGGGGTCAGAAGTATGACAGGAGGGGAGCACAGCCACCCAGGCTCAGCACACAGGGCGAAAGTCCCAGCAAAACCCATTCTTCTAGCTCAAAGGCCCCTCGTGCAAACACAACTGAGGGCTGGCTGAGGTTTTTTTTTTTTTTTTTTTTTTTTTTTTCCTTTTTGCCCTTAGTTCACAACTATTGCTAAAAAATGTGCACCAAAAGTGCACAGCTGTATTCCAACGAATAGAAAGGACTTTAAAAAAAGAAGCCAGTTGCTCTTTGAGGAAGGGAGGAAGAAAGACCATTTCGGCTCACTGGAAACGGGAACACGTCTTTGCTCATGTCGTCGAAGTGCGGGAGGCAGGGACCTGTCCACTCCAGAGGAGCTGACCAGCAGGGGAGAACCCTGGCTCTGCATCTGTGCGGAGCAGAGTATCTCCGACAGTAAGGTGTGGGCGAGGCCCATCAGCTGCCCCTAGCTGGACCTGTGTAAATGTAGAAAAGAAAAGGCCTCTCCTGGCCCCCTCCCCAGTCCCTGCCATGTTGGGGACGGGCCACGCGCAAGCGGGGGAGGCAACTGGACTGGAATAAACTGCCCTCTGAAGGCACTTGTGCTTCTGGCTTCGTACAGGAGGCTCGTCTCACGTGGTTTTACAGGGGCGGCCCACCGATCTATCCCGAATACAAATGACCTTGGGAAGAAGCCAAAGTGTTTTCTGCCAAAAGTCAAAGTGTTTATCCCCAATAAGTTACATACTGTACAGGATCCAAATGCGTCTATGAAAGCTTTAGACTGTTAGAAAGAACAGTGAAAAGAAGCTCCACATACAGGTACAACAAAAACCCGCATATAAAACTGGAGAAACGAGTATGTATACTTCCAGGAAATGAGTATCCAATGAATTCACTATGCCATCCCTTTACTCTGACGCCACGATTTTAGGGAGCATTTGAACGAAATGAAAATTTCATCACGGTCTTAGGCTCTAACAGTGTCCTGCTGCTCACCCCGAGCAAGACCCCATAGTCTGAGCCAGCTCTGCCCATCCCTAAAACTGGACCAGCAGAGGAAGGGGGAAGCGCTGCAGCTCCCCGCCAGAGTGCTGGGGCACGTGCAGCCTTGCCAGGTACAGGCTGTGTAGACTGGCCTGGCGGCCACAGTGCTATGATACAGCACCTGGGTTTCTAGTCTCCCTATGAGAACACCTCTGAGATGCAGTATTAAAAACAAGCCCAACACCAATCATTTATTATGAAATGGGCCAGCTCTCAAATTGTGCAACAGCAAATTTCCATTAAAAATAACTGTCTTAAAATGGTGAAAACAATTTGCCTTTTTTTTTTTTTTTATGACAAACTTGGAAAAAGCCTTCATAGGTACTGCGTGAATGGAATGTACTCTTAGAAAAGCTACAGAGCACACGGGTTTGAGGTTGAAACACAGTGACAGATGTGGCCCGACCAACCGACATGTCGAACAAGTGCTCACAGACACAGAAGGTCCTCTGAAACGAAAGGAGGAAGCCAAGTCTGCACTGGCCTGTCTCAGTTCTCGGTGTGTCTCGCGAGACAGAGTCTGCTTGGGGCTCTTCCGCTCACGCTCTGCCTTCCAGGGACAGCTTAATCTACACATGGAGACTGGTTTCTATGTTACATCTCGATTAGTCACTTCAACAGGAAGAGAATCTCGGTCCATACCAAACTGGCCGTTAGAAGTCTTGCTCCCGCTGGGGCTCTGTGGGCTTCCTAGGACTACTCTTGGGGCCGTAGAGGAAGGTAGTACGTGAATACCCAGGAGGCCAGCCCCGTTCACGTGGACTTCTGGCGGTAATGGAGGGTGAGGTCGCCGCCACTCTTCCATATGAAGTGCTTCACTGTTCGGAGGTCCATATTGGGATCCAAAACCTGAGTGGCAAAAAATAAACATTTTAACGTTGCTGATATCTAAAACCTTTATTGTTAATTCTGGGCAGCTTAGTGAGTGACCTAGCTGACTCCTGCCCCCCCACGGCTGGAGGCCTGTGCATGCCTCCACGGCGCCCACACATGCAGGCGTGGGTAAGACACAGCGAGACGTGCATCTTCGTGGCTAGGCCACAGACGCCAGGCCTTCTGTGGCCCATTCCTCCGGGGAAGGGTCTAAGCGTGTCTTGATTTAAAGCAGCTCCGCCCGCCTCCACTCCCAGTTGTACACTACCACAGCAGATGCTGCTCTGCAAATCCAGACCGCGTCTGTCTGCTCGGGAGAAACACAGGCTCCAGCACACCCTCACTTCTGCACGTGTGTGTACATCGCTGTGCCCCTTTCCGGAAAACCTTCCCACAGTAAACAGGAACTTCAGGGCCCCTCCAAAAGTGCCTCCCCGGTTGAGGGGAGACCCAGAGTTCCTTAGGTCCACTGTAAAACAAGAAGTCAGGCTGCCCCCACGGCCTACTGCTTAAGGGAGCTGGATCCCACATGGCTGACCACAGACTGAATCCCAGCCCTGTTGGCTTGAAAAACACACTGGGCACATGCACATGTGTGCCCCAAATTCCAACAGGACAGAAAAACAGGGCAGGGACTGCAGAGTGACCATGCTCCACTGGGGGTGCTTTCTCTCTAGCAAGCGCCCCTGTCCTCTGGTGCTGAGTAAATAAACAACCCCCCACAGGCAACAGTGTGTAACTAATCATGCTATATTCTGACTTTCTGAGAACCAGCACGGGGAGAGTGGGTCCTCAAGTTCTTACCTGGTCCTGGCACAGAAGCTCAATTTTCTCCTCTGCCAACACAGCAATGTCCTCTTCTTTTTCCTGTTCTCCTGGCTTCTCGTTATTAGAAGAGCTGGTGGTCTGAGACTCATTATCCAAGTTGATAATTTTCTCGTAGACATGCTCCATTACTTTCCGGACCTGGAGCATGTCACTAGCAGAGAGTCTGTCTCTGTAAAGAGCAATGGTACTGTAGTATCAGAAATCACCAGATGCTATCTCTCCATTTTATCTTTCTCTGGTGCTAACATTTAAAAATAAAACACTCCACATAAACATAGGCCAGAAAATATGTTTAGTCACTGGCTGCAGTGATTCGGGTCCTCACACTGTTTCCAGTCATCTTGCACACGTGCCCACTTCCACATTCCTGAGCAAGCTGTGCCCCAGACCTGGAATACCTTTGAAGTCCTATCTATCCTTACATGTCAGCTCAAATTCCGTGACCCTTGAAAAGCTTTTCTGGGGACCAGCAGATGGCATAATAGTTTTGTCCCTGATAGTTTGGACTCTCACATGGCCAACCACGGTTTGAGTCCTGGACCGGGCGACTTGTAACTCATGCCAGGCACATGTGCGTGCAAGCCCAAAATCCCAAGAGGAGAGTGGAGGAGAAGGGACTGCAGCACTGCCATCCCCTCTGAAGGGTGATTTCTCGCTTTATGTTTCGCTGGGAGCGCACACACCCTATAGCAAAAATCTCTCTCTAAAATAAAAGAAAAGCCTTTCTGGAAAGTGCCAGTAACAAACTCATTTCCTTCCCCTCTCTCTCCTTATTCCCTAAGTACCCACAAAAGCAATGATCACATCTAGGTTGTGTCCTAAACTGAGAATTATGCAAAGAGACAGAAATCCAGGTCTTAGTTGTTTTTTAACACCTGCAACCTGCCACAGCTTGTGCGTGGTAAGAAGTTTTAATTGCGTACACGGTCAGTTATAAAATCAGTCTGACATCAGTGCCCACCTCTGCTACAGACTGAATCGTAAAGAAGAGTTCTCCCAGTCACTCACTGTGGGGCTGTTGGAAAAGCCAAGACATGCTTTCCTGTTTTCCTATGCAAAAATGCGTCATGACTTCTCTGACCACCCACAGTTCAAGGAAGCACATGACATCACATTTACTTACTTTTTTAAGGTTTTTGCTCCCGAAGATGCATGAGGTTGGAGGTAGAAAGGAATTTTGTTGAATTTGGGCATATTTTTCTGAAATATTAAAATGTAAAAAGGTATGATATTCTCTACCAGTTGATAAACTAAAATGGTGTCAACAAGAAAACATGATTTACAAGTAATAATTGTTTTACAATTAAAAATGCCTTGCTATGAAACTGATTGTAAGCTACCCAATGATCAAAGTCAGCCCTAGAGAAAACTTATCAGAAAAGTATGTTTCGTTTTATAATTAAAGATATGTAAAAACAAGTTACGTGTAATACTATGGCAATACCATGGTACTGAATAAACATGTATTATTTTTTATGACTAAAACCCAGTAAAGATAGAAACTGTAGCAGGGCTCTTGACAATGCAAGGTTTTACATTAAATGAAAACAAAGTGATTTTAATTTTTAAGCCATACAAACTAAAATTCAGTTCAGTAAAATATTGGGCCGATACATAAAAGCACAAACAAAAAGTTGTTTTGAGAGAAACCCACAGCGTTCGCCTTCTGGCAAAGCACACGCTCTATGCTGGAGAGGCCCGCTGTCCAACTGAAAGGCCAATCAGCCCCTCCCCCCACTTTCCCCCTCTGACATCAGGGTGAGGTCTGAGGGTTTAGGAAGAATGGAAGCTTCAGCCAACAAGCTAGACGTCCGCCATGAAGTGACCTGCTGACTTATGGAATGAGTAACCTCAGAGCCTCCACGGCATATCCTGTCTGGAGGTCTCCTCTTGGGAACAAGCACAGGCCTAAGGTCAGCGATGCACTCACTCCTAGGTGAAGTTCACACTCAGAGAAAGTGGTCTATGGTGCTTAGACTCAGAGAAAGCCACCAACTGTCCATCAGGTGTCACACTGGCTTTTGTACTTGGAAATATATCTGGGACAGGAAAGACATTCTCTAAAGGTTCTAGAGATTAAATCCGTTTTCATATGGTTTCAGGAATTTACAAAATAGTGCAACCATACCTACGAGAGTCTAGAAACAGATCCACATGGGCACAGAAATTCAGTATATGATAAAAGCAGCATTTCAAATGAGTTAGAAAAGAATGCAGATTATTCAATAAATTGTACAGACACACTGGCTATCCCCTTTGGAAAAATTAGACTTCTACCTCACACAAAACAGAATAATAAACTCTAGATTAAAACTCTAGACATAAAAAAATTACCATACATGTACCATAAGAGAATACAAGAGACTACTTCTGCTGCTTTGGAGTGGGAAACACCTAAACAAGATGTGAAACTCAGAGCTACAGAGGATCAATTCAATTCTATAAAAATAACAACTTTTCACTTGGGAAAGACACCAAAAATAAATATTGGAGACACACAGATAACAGTCAAGGGGCTGATGTTCAATGTGAAGAATCCCTACAAATCCGTAGACAAAGGGCCCAACAGAAAGATGGGTAGCGAATATAAACAGGCAGTGGGGGGAGAGATACCAGTGGCCAACACCGCGAGATGTGCACTCTCCCTGTCAACCAGCGGGAATCCAGAGGAACGTGCCTGCCTTTTAGCACGGACGGCAAGTGCCCAGCATCGGTGTGAGTGTAGGGAGACTGGGCACTCGTACACGCTGGACGGCCTTGGTGGCGGGCACTTTGGCAATATCTATCAAAATTTAAAATGTGCACACCCTTTGATCCAGCAATTCCACTTCTAGGAATTTATCCTAAAAAGTGTACAAAGATATACGTGCAAGGATGTTCACTGCAGTATGCTTGTAACAGAAAACACTGGGGACAACCTACATGTCCATTAACTGGGACTGATTAAAATAAATGATGATACCTTGATACAATGGAATACTAGGCAGTCGTTAAAAAAGAATGATCCATGTGTACAGACATGAACATATCCAAGATGTATTTTCAATAAAAAAAGTTGCGGAACAGTAGGTGTAATACTAAGGTGTAATAGTTTTGTACAAAGTAAAATAACTATACATATATATGTACACAAGTAACATATGCTTATGGCTACAAAGAAAACTAGTACTGAAGACCATACATTAACCTATTAACAGGGAGGAAGGACGGAGTGGGTGGGTGAGGAAGAGTGAGTGGGAAAGCGATGGGTGTTGCATTTCATTCATTTATCACATACTGAACAAGCATATATTCTAATGATTAAAAACCAACAAAGATAAAAACAGACACATAAATAATTATCAATACTACTTCTGCAACTTTGGAACCGCAGGGGAGGCAGAGGGGGATTCCACCTGGAAGCCTAGTTTTTATATCGTCTATGGCGGTTTTTAATTTCATGAGTTGGACAAACAGAAGGGCAGAGGGGAGGGGAGCGGAGGGTACTTACATCCACAGTGATGTCAATTACCCATTGTGGCACTGTCTCGTTGAGAAGCATGGATTCCGTCTCGCCCCCGGAATCTCGGCACAGCAGCCTAAACACAACCAACCCATCAGGGAGTGAGTGAGACAACAGGGCAGACGACAGAAATCACTGGCAACAAACATTAGCGGGAAGCTTCCCAGATTTCATTTAGGCTAACCCCCACCTGACAGCTGAGGCGATAAAGCACAGCCAGGCGGGGAGACTCTCTCAGCTGAAATGGAGAACAGGCCCTGAGCAGGCCCTGACTTCGAGGCCAGGCACGCACTACAGATGCTTCTGTGTGTCCTCGGGAAATGACAGGAGAACTCCTAGGTGTAAGCAGAGCAGTCCAGAAAGGTCCCCTGCCAGTGCTACGGTGCCTGGCACAGGCTGACACACGGCGGGGCCGAGATGTTTGGGGCCACAAAGGAAGAGAGTTCTGTGCTCAGAACAATACCAGCATTTTTCTTGTGGCACTGCCAAGTGAGTCCTCCCTGGCTCCACCAGGGCCTTGCTGGAACGTGGACGTTAGCCAGTCCGGCCCTTCCTGCAGGGCCCCACAAAGGACTGCCTGGCACCCCAGGTCAGGCCAGCGCTGGCCACGACAGTTCCCAGGAGCAGCCCAGCCCGAGGAAGGCGACCTACGCGATGTGCCCATGGGCAGGGACTGCGGGTGATGCCGTCTGTTCCCCGACCTGAGTGTGTACAATGCAGAGTGAGAGAGAGTGACGTTTCCTACACAAAACCCAGAGAAGCTGCCTGAGAGCAAGGCATCTCTGCACCCTAACGGTGCGAGTTCTCCTCTCAGTTAGAGCTCGGCCTAAAAGCATCGCCATTTAACAGGCTCATGGAGTTGGGGAGCATCATAACTCTGGTATCTGTAGATGTTAGTAACAAACAACTTTTTTTTTTTTTTTTTTTAAAGAGTTTTTGGGTAAAGGGTGTATGTGCTTGCTGGAGAGACAGAGAAAGACAGAAAGCAAGAAATCACCCCCCTAGGGGAGACGGCCATGCCACAATGCCTTCTCCATTCTCTTAGGATTGCACATGTGCCCGGCATGAGTTTTAAGTTTCCAGGTCCGCGACTCGAACCACAACTGACTACGTGGGAGTCCAGTGATATAACCATTATGCCATCTGCTGGTCCCATAACAAACGACTTCTAACATCAGCGTGAGTGAGCATTCTCAGTGAACGGGATGCTGTACCTGAACAGCGTGCGGCCTCCAGCTTCGCCGAAGATCACGGGTGTGTGTGGGGGCACTTGGAAATACCCGTTTCCTTTCTGCACCCGGTTCTCCTGCTCCCCATTCACTAGGAAGAGATGCAGGGGGTGTTAGTGCCCAGAGTAAGCGCTATAAACACAGACTGCAAACATTCTGCTTCCCCAGGCTTCAAACATTACGAGATCTTCAAAGTCTCAAGTCCTTTACGTCAGCAAGAGTTAGAAATAAAGGTAAAAAACAAAACTTACTTTACTGAAAGTAAGAAACCTGGCAACATATGGTTGATTACAGGAGAAATGACTGCATTTTGGAGGACTTTTACAAAATAGATCAATATTTAAAATACGAATCAGAACCACTACTTCAGTCACTAAGAAACCTAGGACAGCTTTTCTATCAATGAGGGTTTAGTTTATTTCTTGAAGAGCACTAACTTCAGAAAAATGCAAGGGAAAAAGAGAATGATGCTTAACAGCAGCCACAGCGAGCGACAACAGTCCTGGTGAGAAACAAGACCCTCCAGGAGGCCACAACCTCACTCCTACTGTTCTTCGCAGACTTCACCCCGCGTGGCTTTGTCTGTGATCTCCGGCCCCAGTGGAGATGACTCGGCTCGTGCGCCAACTCATTGGCCATTTCCCTCACCGAGTGGAAGGAAGCCTCCTCTGAGACCACAGGGCACTGGTCGGCCCCTCTCACAGCTCCCAACGCTCCCTGCCCAGCACTCCTCTCAGCAGGCATTATGGAAGCAGCTCGCTGTCCTACCAGCGTTTCTGCCCCTCAAGGACAGGGGCCATGCCACTTATTTATCTGTACTACCCCCACCTAAAACTTGCTGAGGGCCTCTCACCACCTGAGCTGTTCCCAAGCAGGATTTGCTTGATCGTCAGAAAAATCAAGACGTACTCTTCTATGCAAAAATGCATCATGACTTTTCTGACAACCCAATATAATAAATAACTCTTGAACGCCACTGAGCAAGGGCAGCTTACCAGACGGGTGGAGAGTGTAGGGGCCCGAGCTCTGAATGAGGACGGGCAGGCCCCACCCTTCTTTTACCATGGCAGCGAAGGATGAAGGGTCATCTGAAGCTCAGGTATGATGTGGAGTTTCTCACCATTTCGTCCTTAGTCTCCCTACCCACTGCCTGGATTCACGAGGTGCTGACTGTACCACTGCCTTTCTGTTTTTGTTTTTGGTTATTCAATTATTATTACTTACTTGGGTCTCTGAGGGCACCCAGTAAAACTGGAAAGGACCTGTCCATGGCTACACAGCTGATAAGCTGCATAGCTCCCACTAGAACCTAGCTTTCTTGACCCTCTCTGGAGAGATCTCTTCATTAGTTTCTCTGGCTTCCAGGTCACTGACGATTCTGACAGGGAGCAAAACGGGCCAGGTGATATCAAAGAAAAGCCACCGAGGGTGGGGTCGATCCTCTCTGACAAGGACATGAGAAGGCTGGTTTTCAGAGAAGCACGCCATCCTCACATGGAAGTTAAAGTATACAAATCATTACAGGTGAATCTGTTAGCCAGGATGGAGTTCCCGGCAGAAAGCCATCGTTTCACTCCCCAAGGTCAGCAGAGAACCCTACGCAGAGCGAGGCCTCAGCAGGCGGGACTCGGCGACTCTTCAGCCAGCCACAGTTACAGTAAAGACGGAATTCTACGTTCCTTTCCCCTTTCTTGAAGCTGGCTGAATCAAACGCACACATTCACGGCGTGTCCTCTGCTGCCATGGCCTGTGGCACACACCTGCCAATGTCCTCTGTGACATCAATTCTTTATACATTCTCCTTCTTTTACCCTGCCACTTCTGTGCTGGGATATGACATTTTTTAATCAAAATCAAGTAGATCGGGACCAGCAGGTAGTGTGGTGGCCAAGGGCACTGGACTCCCACACGGCCGACTGCGGTTTGAGTCCTGGACCTGGCAGCTTGCTCTCGCTCTGGCCAAATAAAAATAAAGTTAAATAATTCTTTTTTTTTTCTTTTTTTTGGAGAGGATTTTTTTCTTATTGGGCGCGTGCGCTTGCCAGAAAGACAGAGAGATACAGAGAGACAGAAAGTGAGAAATCACCCCCCCCCAGAGGGGATGGCCACACCACAATCCCTTCTCCTCCATTCTCCTCTCGGGATCTTGGGCATGCAACACACACACGCCTGGAAGCCGCCAGGTCCGGGATGCGAACCGCGGTCAACCACATGGGAGTCCAGCGACATAGCCATTATGCTAACTGCTGGTTCCAAAGTTAAATAATTCTTTTAAAAAAAAAATCAAGTAGATCATCAAGCCAGGCAACATCAACATTTCAGGCCAACAGGAAGTATAGCTCTACTATGTCAGAGCTGGCTTTCTGGCATAGCTGTAGCTCAGTCCTGTGGGCGAATCCGGTCACAGATACTTGGAGGAATCTCTTGGATTAAGCCAGCTAAGGTGCCTAGTTTCAAGGCAAAGGCCACTTGGATACATACAGGACTGATGTGAGCTCTCTGCAATGGCCTCAGTGACTGAAAGCCCCAACAGGTGGTCTGCTCTGTTGGAATCTTAGTCAAGACTGGGCGGAGGCTTTCACTCTCAGATACGGAAGGGAGAACAAGAAATTGGGGACACCATCAGCATTTATCACGTCACATTCTAAAAAGCTGTTTAAGTATCTTCAGTTGTACATAATTGTTCAGCAATTATCTGCATATAGAAACTAACCATGGTTTACTTCATTTTCTTCTTCATCCATTGGATTCACATGTGTTCTAGGCCAATATTCCAGCAGTGCCTGGAGTAAAAGTCCTCCTAAATTCACTGCAAAAGAGTTAATTATAAAGAAAAGAAAATGGACAATGAAGTTATTTTAACCAAAAAAAAAAAAAAATTAAGTTTACACATATTCTAAAGAGAAAAGCACCATCCACAGGGTCAAGTCATGCCACAATGCCCTTCCTCTAGCCCGCCAGCCCGCTCCATCCTGGGCAACTGTGCACATGTATGGCAAAGTTTCCACATATCCTGACGTTAAATTCTTAGCCCAAGACCAATAATGTGGGTTTTTGTTTTTGTTTTTGGAGAGGTTATTGCTATAGGACGCGTGCACTTGCCAGAAGAGAGAAAGTGAGAAATCACCCCACCAGTGGGATGGCCACACCACAATCCCTTCTCCTCCATTTTCTTGGGATCTCGGGCATGGACACACACGTGCCTGGCGTGAGTTTGAGCCACCGTGTCCAGGACTTGAACTGCGGTCAACTACATGGGAGTCCAGCGACACAGCCATTACGCCAACTGCTGGTCCCCACAGGTCGACCTTCTTTTTTGGAGGGAGGAAGAAGAGGAAGGACACTTGGACTCACATTTTGGATCTGACCCATCGGGGCTGCTGAAACCGGCATCTTTTGCAGAAACCCAAGCAGCGAAACAGTCACTCTCGTCCAAAGTGATGGTCAACATCTGTCAAGAGGGAAAGTGACTAGTGGCGTGACAACTGAATGCCGTCCCCAAATGAGTCTGAAACTTTTATTTATTTGTACGATGTGACTAAAGTGCAAAGCCACAGGCTCAGGAACTGGATGTGTTCGTGAGACTCACTGCGACCATGGCTCAGTTTACTGGGATACTAAAGGCTTCAAAGTACATTTGTAAGTATTATTGATAACACGAAAAATATTTTCCTTTCGCATTTTTAAAATGTGACACTCTGAAACTAACGAGTATGCGCTATACTGGAAATCTGGAACTATCAACATTACACAAGTATTAGTAACTAACTTACCCCCGTTTTTAAGTCCACTGAGAACCAATTTGGCACATACACCATTTTAAATCTTTTCTTAATTTCATCCTCGAAATCCACTTTGCCCAGATCTTCAACTTTACATGCCTATACGTCAAAAACAAAGTATAATGATCAATGTTTAAGTGGTGAATTGATTCGATTCTGACTTCGCTATTCAAAATTGCACATTTTTACACTTGTCTAAATAAAACACAGTCTAAGATACATTTTAAAAACAAGCTGTGAATTGTTTTCTTATCTCAAAGCATTCATCTCTTCCTTTTTTCCCAGACCGGGTCTTGCTCATTTGCCCAGGCTGGTTCAAACACACGCTCCTCCTGCCTCAGCCTTTCGAGTAGTTGGGACTACGGGGTCATACCACAGGGCCCAGGGCATTTCCCTTTAAATAATGATTTGTTGATAAAACTCCAAATAAACACACATGCACACAAGATTCTTTTTGGGGGGAGAAGTTGTAACTTCATTGTGCTGATACCGGTATCACTCCCCTGAAAGTGATGTCAAATGAAACCCAGAAACAAAGAAAGGGAGAGAGGGAGGAAGGCAGAGGAACATCTCCAAGGAACACATAGTTACTACTAAGTGCTGACTTTAGGAGAATTGGAGGGCACAGCAGGTGCTGCAGTGGTTATGGCGCTGGACTCCCACATGGCCGGCCCAGTTCAAGTCCTGGACCCGGGGACTTGAAAAGTACGCCTGTGGATGTGTGTGTGCATGCCCCAAGTCGACTGCAGCGGGGCCATGCCCCTGTGGGTGATGTCTCACTTTTCCTCTTGCTGTCTCTCTCTGGTGGGCGCACATGCCCTATGGCAAAAACCTTTAAAAAAATAATAAATAAGAGAGAGAGAGAGAGAGAACTGTGAAGTTATCCTCGGGCAGCAGCTGGTACAGGCAGTCATTTGAAGTTTATCTTCTTGACCATTACAATCATCCCGTTTTTGCTCACTCCCTACTTGCACCTCCGAAAGCTCTCCAGGGCTAATGCACTTCTAAATCCAGGTGCCTTCAGTTCTGAGCCCTATTACAGACTGTCCCTGCACCTCCTCATCTCAACAGCAACTTGGCTCTTTCCTGACAGTGTCTCTCGGTCAGTCACCTTCTGAAAGGGAGACTCGGCTTACCCCCTGACATCCCACTGTTCCCCAAAGGCACTTGGGGCCCATTACTCCCCCACCTCCATGTAGAAGTCCCTCTTTCTTTGAGGCCATGTCACTCAGTGGCAGGAAGCTGAACGCTGCTCGCTCACTGCCACCCAGCAACCTCGCCGGGAGTCTCACTTCCTGAGACGTGGGCCCTGGCTCCCTGTCTGTCTGTCTCAACTCTTGCTTTCATCCAGGATAAAATTAACCCACTTGGACAATACACGTGACATGCTGGCCCCTCCGTTCCTTGATGGTATTATATTGCCACCATCAATGCACTGTCTTCGACCTCAAGTAGGACCACCGATGCTACCTGCGGTTTCCCACTCTCGAGTCGGCCTTCTCTGTTAACCACATCTCTGCCCTCCTCGTAGCTTTGGCTTTGACTTTGCCACCTATCCCCCACCCTTAGCACGACTGACTCCTTCTCAAAAATAAATAAATAAATAAATAAATAAAGGAGAGAGTGAGAAGCCTTGACAGAATCCCCTAACTTTCTGCTATCACTCTTCCTGCTGTAAGGAAAATGGGATCCCTTCGGGCTGTACTCTTGTTCCCCTCAACTCTTACTTCCTGGGACCCTGTGCCATCATCTACCCCTTCATGTCGCACTGGCTCCTCCCCACGAGTAGTCACACATGCTCAAGTCTCTTCCATTCTAACAATACCCAGACAACAAAGCACACATCTTTACAGCTCTCGCTTTATACTACATCCGACATGTCCGTCCCCTTAGATGCCAAAGTCACTATGCGCAAGGCAACTGTCTTCCAGCATCCAGTTCCCACAACATATACTACAGCTGTGCTCTCAGGATGGAATTTTCTGCCCTAAAACAATCCAAGATCTTGGGGCCAGCAGACAGCATAGTGGTTACATTGATGGACTCCAACATGGCAAATCGCAGTTCAGTCTCAGACCTGGTAGCTTGGATCTCACGTTGGGCACGTGTGGTCTATGTCCCCAATCCCTGAGAGGAGGCTAGAGGAGAAGGGACTGTGGCATGGCCATCCTCCTGGGGGGTGATTTCTCGCTTTCTGTCTGTCTCTGTCTCTCTGAGGAGTGTATGCACCTTATAGCCCCCCCAAAAACAAACAAACAAACAAACAAAAAAACAAAAAACCTCTCTTCAAAAAAATTATCTGGGACCAGCAGTTAGCGTAATGGCTATGTCACTGAACTCCCATGTAGTCGACTGTGGTTCGAGTCCTGGACCCAGTGGTTTAAACTCATGCCAGGTGGGTGTGCGTGCGTGCCCAAGATCCTGAGAGGAGAATGGAGGAGAAGGGATTGCGGTGTGGCCATCCCCCCGGGGGGTGATTTCTTGCTTTCTGTCTCTCTGG